AAGGTCACCGACTAGATAATCGGTTGAATAAGACATTTGGGCAGACGTTTTCTTCGGGTAACAACGCTTGCAAGAGTTTACGGGGAGATGTGACTATCACGTCGGCCGGGTAGTGCACACTGTCTGGACCTGCGTCTGGGTCGCAGACACTGAATCAGCCCGGTTGAGCGTGATTTTGATGACCGATTTATTTTAGCCCTAAAGTGACTCTTAAAGCGCAGCTAACGCCAATTTTCTTAGCTAATTGGAAGGACTGTGCAATCAAATGGTCTTGACCTCCTACCAGCTGGTTTATCCAGCTTCCCTGGTGCTGTCCGCATAGCTCTTATCGTAGTGACGAAGAACGCGAGGGCTGTAGGCGCGGCTATTTTAGTTATGGTCGGTGCCTTCTACCACCACCACAGTCAGGTGTGGTTTTCCTCAATCGCTGTCATGGCCATGTCTGTTGCAGTGCCTTCGGCTATCCTCACCTTGGTCGAGATTATTGGTAGAGCCGTCTGGAGACATCTGATGTTTTCTCCAAACCTACTCTCATAAGCACTAATTTAGTAACTTACGTTGTCACCCTTCCCGTGCTGTGTCTGACAGCCTAACTGTAGGTCGTAGACTCATATCAACCTTCTCGTTGTAGATTAATGACGCTACCTCCGTCCTCTCACCAGCAAGCCCTCTCAGTGTAGGGGCGGAGCATGCAAGTAGTTAGGGCCTGCCTTCACCCCCACCAGATGTAGCAGACTGGTGGAAGGCGAAGACAAAACTGACAATTACCTTTCTCGCAGGCTCGTATATCTCAGTAATGATAGAAAACTCCGTCGTCAGCATACGTGCAATCGCTGACCCGTAAACTGAGTAGCATGTGATGCTGCTGCCACATCATCATGAGGAGTCTGAGATGGTGCTTTATCTTCACGATAGAGAAAGACCATGAAGTGAAACTAAGGCTTTGTATTCAGGGTGTATGCCTCTGGCAGATCGTGGTGCTGGTGGAAAGTATACAAGGCGATAGGAATTATATCCATTTAACCATGCCTTTCAATGCGCTTAGAGGGGTAGTAAACAAACCGAGAATTTGGATTTGACCTAGAAAGGTTGGGGGGGAGTGGCCGCAGGCCCTTAAAGGACTCTGCTTTCAAGCGGCACTTCATAATCTACATGAATGGATTGCAAGTTATTCATCAATAATGCTGCCAGCCGCCCTATTTTACGGTGTCTGGACCTGTACCTGCAGTAGGCTGCGAGCTGTACACCCATGTTGAATTTACTTCTACGTTTAGTACCACTGCGGTAAATTTCCACACGTGAAGCCAAAATCCCACTTTTGGCTTGATCATGCTTACATTGGAACACAATTCCATTTTAATTAAAGCATTGTTTACTTTAGAACAGAAGAAGTGTTACCGATGAAGAGAGATAGCGAGGTCATTTATTTTGTCATGGTTAACGGTGCGTCGCCTGAGTGAGACAATGTGCTGTGCAATGACCTTGACCTCGGTGTGAATATTTAAAGGCTGGCAGCGAAAGTGAAGGAGAAGGAAGACGTATGGACTATGGATCGGAAGATTTTGCACTTAATATTTTCCCTTGCGGTGGGATTCCTGTTTTTCTTCGCCATTGGCTATGATGGTTGGGGCCCTGGGGGGCAGCATTCTGACACTATGACAGGTGCCCTCCTCTTAACAACTGGTTTCGTTGTGCTCATAGCAGGCATCGTTCTCATTCGCCTAATCTTGTCTGACTACGCCTGGATCGCGATTGTAGCCTGTGCATATGTATTCATCTCCGCCTTTCTCTCGATTGTTGGTCTCTGCTTCTATGCGAAATCGTCCCATATTTGGTCGCCTATCATTGGCACCGCTGCAACGACACTCACGGTTGTCCTGTCCATCATTCTCATCTTCGATCTGGCATACAAACACTTCACCTTCACCAAATTTTTTGTCTAGCCTTGGGTAAAATAAGCAGAGGCTATGCTGAAAACAGGCGTTGACGTGACGACCGCTTACTTGTGATAGACACTGAAAGCAGTTAAACTTTGTTGATTTCTTCTTGTTCCTGTGACTCTCTGCGCGCAATGTGTGCTTTTACTTCTGGAGACCTGGCAACTGCATAATAAGGCATCCTGTCTTATGGTTTTGACGTTGGAAAATGAGTACTAGGCCATTGCAATGGTTTGTGAGCAAACTATAGGCAGGTAGGTAAATGGTAATAAAGACAGATGAGCGGATAAGTAGAGACGGTTAGATAGACAGACAGTTAGGGGGGTTTAAAGAAAGGAAGATATGTAGATGGGTAGATAAAGTGGACGGCGACATGGATGGATAGGCGGGTGCTTGGATCACTAGCATTGCCTAAGAAGAAGGCATCAAAGCGCTAACACGTTACATAGTGAGATCTCACCCCACTCAGTCATAGTGACCATGGACGGCCCTAGAATAATACTACAATTTGGATGTTGCCCTCCAGGACTCACATAAATGCACAGACAGGTTATGAAAAATTAAATAAGCACATCTGACTACATTAGGTCTGCCAAGACCTCAGTACACCTGCCTTCATTGCAACCTGCTTAGGAGGCACATTTACTCAAAAAACTGGTTTCTCCAAAGACGAGGATTTGATACACGGTTCTCAACATGGGGGAGGAAAATATCACTCCCTTACAGTCCAGTTATGATTTCTCTTACCTCTGACACTCATGAGGTGCGAAAGGAAAAAATCCTCGTCTTGTGAGTGCAAACCGCTTTTCTACATCTCTTCTTCAATGCACCTCCCACCATCGAACAGCTTCAACTTCATCGCGTTTCAGAAAAATAATATCAAAGCACCGATATGACACTATTGTGACAAGCAATCGCCAGCACTACCATCCAAATGCCCCCTGGAGCAATGTCAATCTCCTACTCCTTCCATACCTTTACAAGGTTTCGATTGTCACATCATTGGATTTCGGTGGACACATCGTCCTCGTTGATATCGTCAACACACGACATGAGATTTCGTATTCTACTCAGGTGATACAGACTGCCTCAGCTCAGCAGCTGTGCAATCCCTCGAGGCGAGGCTCAAACATCACCCAGGTGTGGATGTAGTGCACCCTCCTCGTGATCCACGTTGATGTGTTCAGGGAGAAGTGGTGATAGTGGGTGAGGAGGTTCATGCAATCTGGTAAACCAGGCAGTCTCATTGTCAATTAAGGTGAATGGAAGTGGTTGCCGAAAGAGGGAGGATGTCTTCACTGCAGCGTTTGATGCACAAACATAGCTTGTTACACTACCTGACACATTCTCAGGATTGGTGGCAGAAAGGCAGGATGGAAGTCAGTACACAAGGCAATTTAACCGTTCGCCTAACCCACTAACCAATTTCGCACGCCTAAGTCGCAGCAACAGCAGCAGCAGAAGGATTTTTCACTCATTCCTGCCTTCACTGCATCCTCTAAGATCGTACAACCTCAGAGGATGGTGCTACGAGAGTGAAATGTCATGGTCTGCTCCAGTTTGCATGCTAAGGCAGTGGTTTAATCAGAGGTTTCCTCTGATAGAAAAGTTGTTGATTCTCCTATTTGGTGCTTTTCAGCCACAAAATCTATTCAATTGGAACCGCTTGTCAATGCTCTATCACTAAGCACGCCACAATGTGTCCATTTTGGCAGTGGCCAATAGGTGAGATTGACATGATCATCAAAGGTCAGTGGACAGTCCATTTGTACAATTAATACTACTGAAATATTTAGCCTAAATCGCTTATACCTTATAAGAGTGACTAAAGCAGCCGTCCTATTACAAAACCTATTTGGTCTTCCCAGTTCAAATCGCCTTCCAAAAGCGTTGATAATTTATTGACTCCTTCCTCCACCTCTTTGAGTTGGGAAGACACAAATGACCTCTCAGCCTTTCCAATTTCTCACGAAGCCTTTTCTACCCTTCGACGACATGGAATGCCCTTTCCTTGTAGCGCGTGAGAGATTTTATTTCTTTGAAATGGTAAAGACAAGGAACCCTGATCTTGCCCACTACAGAACTCACTTCCGTGTCGCAAATCCGGTCAGCTCATGTCCCCGTGTTTCTTTAGTACTGCTTGGACGTTTACTACCCACCCTTAGTTCCCGATGGAGGCAATTGAGGACGACTGTAGTTGCAGGCTCACGTCATTAGTAGACATTGAAGTCACCTATGTAGAAGCCTCACACGTTTTCAGTTCGTCATATCTCCGTGTTAAGACACATCAGATCTCGATATTGGCAGCCAAAATGGAAAAAAAAAACAAATTGAAGGTAGGTTTCGACCCTCGCAATTGGTTTGACCATATCCTAGATCATCAGTTTTGATAACGTGGTGATCCCGCCACCACAGGTAGCGCAAATCCTCTTGAGGCCAACAATCTGGTAATCAGTATATCAAGAGAAATGGGGTAGATGTCACTGTAGGTCACAAACGTGTGCATGGGTTAACAAGGAGGTGTGACTATTCCATGGGGCCGACTAGTGCAGACTGCTTGCTCTTGTGTCTGGATCTAAATCATTCGGTCAGCTCAGTCATTTGTGCCTGTGGTGATGTGTTGACCTTGGACCTATGACCTTGGTCTTGAACTGGAACTGCTGCAAATTATTTTCCTGACAGGGTTCACTCAAGTCTTGCCTAAATTGAGATTATTTAATAAACATGCTGTGCTTCGTTTGATTCAGTAGGAATAATTGTGAGTTTTCTTTTTCTGCAACTCACTTGAACAGATCCACAAAATAGCGAATTTTCGTCAATACTTAATGCCCTCCTTCCGTAAGTTATAATAGCCATTTCCATGTTCCCCACAGTGTAGCCGTTGATAAAATCTTTTGACACTCATCTGGTCTTCCGTGGAGAATGAGGGTAAACAAAGCGTATTTAGTGCCGCAGCGGAAGAAAGGTGGCTGAATGAAATGCCTTTCGATGCGATGAGGCTTCTAAGTGAGTGGTATAGTTGGCCTCCGCTACAACAGAATCACAGCTCCAAGGGATGAAGCCACAGTTGAGTGCAATCACACGATCCAATTCTAATCATTCACATAAAAATCCGTTCTATGCCTATTCATCAGGCGCTGGCGTCGGGGGTGGTGTGTGGAACAGTTCGTGAGAAAATGTGCTCGCGAATTTCTCCGGCAGCCTGCTTAGCAAGAAATCGTCCACTCGTCAATCTCTCAACGCTCCTCCTGTCGCATCGTTCTATGCAACACCTGCTTAGACGAACAGTTACTTGAATGCATTTGATTTGGCTCCTCCTTCATCGCTTTATGCATTCGATGTCCACTCATATTTTTTTATTCCAATTTCACCACTGACCACCCTTGCTAATTTCATTTTAGTAGCTTCGACTTTGCAGTTGTGGGCCACAGATGAAGATACTCCTTTTTCCTTGTCAATTGACGTATGTTTGGTGTGAATTAGAATGATACCTCAGAGCATATAACATCTACGTGGTAATATTTTGAATTTGTCTGAAACACAGTCACGTCCATTTGCTTTGCTCAGATTTGCAGGGAGAGGGTCCCGTCAATGTCAGGCAGGCCGACGTAGTCGGAGTTAAAACGTCTGGCACGAACGTCAGCGGAGGCATTGGACAACTCGCCAGGACTGGGAGAAAGACAGTAACCACTGTTGATTCCTCCTAACTTCTCCTTTCTTGCCTCATAAAGATGCTTCTCCATTATTGTTTTTTATCTACCACTTATGAAATTACTATTTTACTTGCTGTATAAAATTATCCTATGGTGCTGACTTGACTTGTGAGAGCCTGGTCATCCTGCTTCATTCTCTTTCAATCGTCTGATAAGGGATGTAGGTGTTTAGAAACGATTCTCTCTAGCATTTCCCACAGCATCTTAGCAGAAACGTAGGCGGATGATGGAGTGGTGATAAGGGATGCCACACTATCTGGTTAGCTGCAATGGCTTAATAGTTTCGTGGGTAAAGAGAGTGCTTTAATGTTTTTCTAAAATGTGAGTAAAATGTGCCCCTTTTAAGAATTTTGTCATAGAATTACTTGAAGGTTCTTCGGGTGGACCAAGTGGCGCGGCAGGCATAAAGCCCTGACTACTGCTGACTCGTTACACTGGCGAAGCGCCTCAAGAGTCTCCGACGCAACTTACGCCTCCCATTTTCGGTGATTCGTGACACACACAAGGTGAGGGTGAGTGTGTGCCGCCTGAAGTCCCACCTGTTACTTCTCTGCCAATTGATTCAGCAATCGCCTCTCACAACGGTCACTTGTTTAATTACCCCAATGCAACCTTGACGTGGTGGTTTACCACACAACTAAAGTCATCGCATTGACTTATTGCACACTAGTCAGGCAATTCTACAGGCTCCTCGAGAATTCTAACCACTAATCTAGCACTTGGCTACTCTCACTGCCTGAGGTTATGCTATGTGCTTTTTGTAATCGCCTGCTTTTGGTGGTTTTACTCATCCACAATTCGACTATTTTCTTCTTCTTCTTGTGTAGATATTTGATGCCGTTGGTGGGAACGTGTTGAGTTACCACTTGGCAATCATGCGATCCAGTAGCAAGAAGTGGTATACCTCAGATTAGATATGCAAGTTTCTTCTACCGCGTATTATGTGATCGCTGAATCTGCGTGGAGCCAGTTGAGGCACAACACATTCTCCTCTCGCCTCCAAGTGCGTTCTCCCACCTCCATCTGATACACATTATTCATAGCCATTTCATGATGCGACCTCTCTGCTCTCACCGCCGAAGTGTCTCAGTCCGAAGTAGGTGCACACTGGCAGTGAGGGTCTGCCTCTACCCGCATTGGATGTAGTAGATAGGTGAAAGGCAGGAGAAAACTCACATCACCCCATCCTTAGGCTCATCTATCTCAGTAATGACAGACAAATCCAACACCAACCTACGCGTAATCACTGACCCCTTGGATATTTGGCTTATGTGATTAATGCCACATGAGTGTGTGAAGGTTGAGACGCTGCTTCCTTTTCTTGGTGAAGAAAGTGCATAATATGACCATCTACGTTTAATGCTTTTGCCAGATCTTGGCAGTGGTGAAAGGTGAAGAGAGGAATCAAATTTATTTTCATTCAATTGTTCATGTTGTTACACTTAGAGTAAGGAATGAAGAACTTATTATTTGGATTTACCCTATTCGGGATGAAAGGTGTTGGCGCAGGCCCTCAAATGGTTTTTTTCAAGTGGTTTTTCAAGAACTATAAAAACAGGACGAAACGCAGTATTTAATCCTCCTGAGTAAGAATACAAAGGATTCGCAGATAAGTGTGGGCTTGTGGGTGACCATGTTAATGAGTAGAGGTGCTATTATGTTCTCCCTGCATAGCCTGTTGCAAAAGTGCATAACCATAGAAATTGTATCCATCGAATTAGGCATGAGTGTTTCTTCTACCGCCTATGCCATAATTGTGGGAACAAACGGGCATATAAATGGTTGTAAATGTATTTCATTTTGGTAATCACTTCGAGGCGTGTTCCACCATTTCAGGTGTCGAGATGATACAACGACTTGGTCACCTCCTCCTTAGCATGCTGGCAGCTGCACTTTTCTTTGTGGCTGTTAGCCATGCAGGGTGGGACTGTGGCCACATTCTTACTAGTGAATGCACGTGGAAGGAAGTCTACAAAACAACTGGTAGCACCCTCTTGATGGCTGGTTTCGCAAGCCTCCTTGGTGCTCTTCTCATGGCTCTCATCATAGTGACGAAGACAGCGAGTATTGATGTGAACACGGGCATTATTATTGTGTGTGGGGCTATCTTAGGCATGACCGGTGTCTTTTACTACTACAAGGATGAGATGTGGTCCCCCTTAATCGCGACCATGGCTATGACCATTGCGGTGTCTCTGGCTATTCTCACCTTGGTTGAGATGATTGCTGGAACCGTCTGGAGTCATTTGAAACAAAACACATCCTCCTCCTACGCTAGGAGGAGTTCACCCACTCCTGTGTGACAGGCGGTAATTTTGTGGTACATCTTATCTCTCTCTTCCAACATTGCTCTCTGCGTATTGAATAAAGTGGCTCCGTTGGGAAGGCGACTGTTTTTACTGTCTACGATTCCTTTCTACATCACTTTTAATTTCAAATTTTTAGATTCGTGTCAACCTATCAGTTGCAGGGGTTCTTGACGCAACCACCGTGTTTCCACTTCTAAGCTTTTTAGTCTGGAAGAGGTGTCTCTGCTCCCACCAGATGTGGTAGCCAGGTGAGAGGCAAAAGAAAACTCACAGAAGGGCAGAGAGAAGATGCGGGCACTTACATTCTCGTGATTAATGGTGCATGGCAAGATGGCACGTGCGGTGAACTAAACTTGACCCCAGTGCAAGAAAAAAACACGCAATACAAGCCTTACCTGTGGTGAGTATTTAAAGGGATGGTGCGCGAGAGGAGGGTGCGAAGAAGAAGAAGAAGAAGAAGAAGAAGAAGAAGAAGGACGCATGAACTATGGATAGGAAGATAGTGTACGTGGTTTTGGCCCTTTCAGCGGCGTTTTTGTTCTTCTTTGCCATCGGCTATGATGGCTGGCGCTGTGGAGGCAGCATTCTGAGTCCCAGCTGTCTTCGCTTAAGTTTCAACGAGGTGACAGGTGCTCTCCTCCTAACAGCTGGTTTGGTTATTCTCATTGCGGGCATCATTCTCATCCTCCTAATTATTTTTGAATACTCCTGGAGTGCTATAGTAGCCTGTGTGTTGGCAATCATCTCCGCCATTTTCTCGATAGCTGGGGTCTTCTACTATGTGGATGTGGACCGAGTTTGGTCGCCTTTTATTGCCACCGCTGCAATGACGCTCACAATTGCTCTCTCTATCATCCTCATCTTGGATCTGGTAGCCAAACATTAAATTGTCTAATTTAATCCTCTTGGAAATCTTATTTACTCCCAAATCTGCACGCTGTTTATTTAAGAGGTCAAATAAAAGTCTTCTTGGTTTTATTTAGTACCTCTGCTCCTTCGGTAGATTAGGCAATCATTTCGATGTCATCCACTGTCCAATTTATTCATTTTGCCTCCTTCACTTTGATCACTCAGCCTTGCGTAAATGTTGGCATCTGCATGATAGCATATTAATTGTTGTAGCAAGTAAAATTAATTAAAAATTTATGATGCCTTCCTGATGTTGTGCCTGTCTAGGCGCACACGTATTCGTTTACAACATCCACCTATAATTTGAAGGTCACTGCTTTGCTTCTGAGGACCTAAGAGCTATAAGGCTCCTGATCTTATACTCAACTGTGTTGCTAAAAGTAGAAAAGTGGGTAAATAAGTGGGTTGCTGGTAGTTAATTAGGTAGATTAGGAGAACAACAGACTAGAGGGACATCCGGATGAGTAGGCAGACAGGCAGGTGTGTAGATAGTGACATGGCGAGATAGGTAGGTGGACGTATACGGAATAAACGGATAGAGAGAAAATAGGTGGATAGATGGATACAGGATGGATGGATGGTTGGATAATTGGATGGACAGAGGGATGAATGGATA